TTCAGGAGTTATTTTCTTCAGTGTTGGAAATTCTCAAAATGTTTTGCACCTAAATGAATGGTAACATTCATTCCCAGACCCTTCCCCTTCCAGTTCAATCTACTGAAAAGTACTGAAAAGGGGGTTGTTATAGTGGGAAAAATGTATGTGTCTCAGGTCCAGAGAGATAGTACAGCAGGTAGGGCATTTGCGTTGCATGTGGCTGACCCTGTTTCAATCCCTGGCATCCCATATGGTCCCTGATTCGTGCCAGGATTGATTGCTGAATGCAGAGCCTGGAATAACCACTGCATCACCAGGTGTGATGCAAATACAAAAAAAACAACACCCCCCCACCCAAAACTCAAAACCAAATCGTGTGTATGCCTCAGTGTGGGGTTATTATTCTGAATGTGGTAGCCTCCAGCCTCTGAAGACATACATCTTGGTCCACGCAGGTAAGGTACACTTGGGAGACAGGAAAAATCCAAAGAAGTTTTACAAAACCAACCCCCCAAACCAACCACTTCTGGGTTCTGTTTTGGGTCAAAATTTCACCCGAGAAAGGAAGCTGGGATAGAGAAGAGACCACTAAATCAATGATGGGTTGGAGGGCTCACTCAGAATGGGAGAGGCGTACTGAAAGTAGACTATGGACCAAACATGATGGCTGCTTAGTACCTGTATTGCAAACCATAATACCCAAAAGGAGAGAGAGAGAAAGAATAAATGTGCCTGCCACAGACGCCGGTGAGTGGGGGATGATGGGGTGGAAGGAGGGATACTGGGAACATTGGTGGTGGAGAATGGGCACTGGTGGAGGGATGGGTACTCGATCATTGTATGACTAAAATGTAATCATGAAAGTTTGTAAGTCTGTAACTGTATCTCACAATGATTCATTTTTAAAAAATGCAAAAAAATACATACCCCAAAACAAAACAAAACAAAAAGTTTCACCCCAGAGCAGCCTGGGTAGAAAGGTAGCATCACGGCAGAGCAGACTCTGAATACCTGGAAGACTGAAGCCAGGTTAGACACCATGGGGAGCCCAGGACACAGGGAGGAGAGATTTGAGAAGTTAGGTGGGGGTAAAGAAGTGTGAGAAAGATGCAGAAGAATACTAGCATGCAACTCTTGTTGGGTGGGAATTATTATTTTCTAATGTGTATCTGGGAAATCCAGTTTGCAGAATGAGGTAGGCAGAAAAATGACAGCCCTCCATCCCCAGGGCCGATGCATGATCCTAGTCCTGGAAACCTGATGGATGTTATAGTAGATGAAAAAGGGAAATAATGAAGGTTGCTAGTCCTTTGGTCTCAAGGTATAGAGCTTATCCTGAATTGTCATGTGGGTCCAACTTAATAGTCCTCTTCCAAGCAAAAGAAGGGGAAGAGAAACAGACGTGATGGTGTGATAAGGACCGAGCCTCCTGTTGTGGTCCTTGAAAACATTGGCTGGAGCCAAGAGCCACAGAATACAGGAAGAAAAGGCAAGGAGAATACAGGAAGGGAAGGCAAGGAGCTGTGTTCCCCACCTGGAGCCTTCAGAGGGCGCACAACCCTCCAGACAGGTTAATTTGACCTAGTTGCTCCATTTTGGATTTCTGAGCTCTAGAATCTGAGATTATTAGGTATGTTTGTGTTGTTTCAAAGCCACTAATTTGTTATAGCAACAAGAGGAAACCAATGCACAGATGTCGAATTGGATTTGGCATGGCAGCCCTCTTGGAAGTTGCTGGGATTTGAAGTCAGAGAGAGAAAAAGAAAGGAGAGTATTTTAGAAATGGGGATCGTTAAACAGCACTTAAAGGCCATAGGAAGAGCAGGGGGAGAAGCAGGGGCCCAAAGGCACTTGGTTAAGGTAATAACACCTTTCTCCATGGTTTTTAAACAATATCCATCAGCTCTTGGAGTTTAGAGGCTCTTAGCTGGGCACCTCGGACCCCGGTGGAGGAAGGTCAGTTCTTTGCGTGGCCTCCTGGGGCTAGTAGCCGAGAAGAGATGGGCTCTGGACCTGGGTCTGCTGCCTGAGCCCAGTGCTCTTTGCAATGTTTGATCTTGCCTTTCAAAAGCACAACAAAACAAAAGTCCAGTCATCACTTCTGCTGATTTTGAACACATTCTACAGGGGCACTGCCAGGTCGCCAGAGTTGAGCCCACCTTGCCCAGACTGTGGTAGAGACACAATTCTCTTTTTTTCATTTGTTTTGTTTTGGGACCATATCTGTGATGTTCAGGGGTTACTCCTGGCTCTGCACTCAGGAATTATTCCTGGTGGTGCTCAGGGAACCCTGAGCTGGGGATTGAACCTGAGGAGGGGGCAGGCAACACAAGGCAAATGCCCTACCTATTGTACTGTTGCTCTGGCCCCAGAGACAATTCTTGAGCAAGACCTAGTTTCCCATTCAACTCCTCCCTCATAGGCATGAGATCAAGACCCCTCTGAGCCTCGGTTTCCTCACCTATAAAATGAACACAGGAACTGCCCCCCTCCTCCCTACCCCCAAGCAGTTGTGATGATCAGTGATGAGAAATACAGTGTCTGATACAGGCCTTGATCCAGGGGGCCTTTCCAAAGCCCCCAAGTTCATTTTCATGCCTTATGTATTCCAAATAAAACCCCTTTGAAAAAATCAACAAGTCACAGACTATGAAAATCAAATAGAAAAGGTGTTCGTTTGCTTCCTTTACAAAAGTACACATGAGGGAAATATTGCATTTGGGATAAGAAATGATTCTGCTGCCTCATTACAGCATTTTAAATGAAACCTTTCAGGAAGACCAGCATAGAAGTGAAGCCAAAGGAAAAACATTTCGATTTTATAGGAAAGAGCTGAAGTCATTACTTTTATGAAGCTTTATAAATGTCATTCAAACACACCATCTTATTTTCATTTGCGATTGAAGCCTTTACTTATGCAAATCATGACAAATGTTAAGAAAACTTGTGTTTCCCCTGGAATGCTAATATAAATCACAAAGAGGGAGGAAGAATGACTTCTGAAGGAAAAATCTATATGGCAGCTCTGCAAGTCAGATAAAAATGAAGCTTTCAGAAAACCTCATTAATTAGTGCCCTGCTCATTTAGAAATTGTGTTAAAAAGCAGAGACTGGACCGAATTTCCGCTCCATGGAAGGAATGCAAATGAACTGCATAAACACCTTTCAGGGGGTGGGGTGGGGGAGTGTTCCTTTTTTGATGGATGGTGGATAACCCTGATCAGCTTTCAGGCATCTTATGACACTTTGTGATTATTAATTTTATTTGTCAATTTGTTTCCTCCTTCTCTGATTTAGATATTCATTTATATATTCATTTGCTCGGTCACATTTTCCCTCCTGTATTCATTCAATAACCATTAAGAACCTGCTGATTGCGCAGTGCTGGGGTAAGCGTGTGGGAGAAAGAAAGATGAATTAGACGTGGATGTTTTTCCCCAGCAGTTCAGAGTTTAAGAGTAATGACAAAGCACCCCCACCAACCAAGAAAGTCCCCTCCCACACCTCCAAGTCTCTAACCCTGCATTGAAAAATGACAGGAGATGCATGAAAACACAATTACTAACAGTGTTGTGCAAGACAGCTTTGAAACATTCCTACATCTGAGGGAATTCAGTGGAAGGACACATCCATGTTCAAAGATGCACTACAAACTGTGGCAGCATCTGGGGGGGCTGTTCATGTCCTGGGGAGAAGTCAAGACAAAGAAGGGCCCACGTCTCATCCGATTCCTCCTATTATTGGTACCCAACATTTACACTTAATTTTCCTCTAGCACCCTATTCCTTGCTTGGCACCCCCAGGAGCTGACTCAGATTTTTCTATGTCATTCTTACCTCATGATGATTGGTTTATTGGACTCCGAGCCCTTGGAAGGAAAGGATCACATCTCATTTCCCTCTAAATATCTACTTTCTATTCTGAGGGAGGGGCAGTGTCTGACTCTGGAAGTCTATGGGTGCTGAACTCCAGGAGTGAAGCAATATTATCTTGGTTACCCAAGAGCTGAACCCACCAGTATAATCCCACTCACCTGACTTCCTCTTCCCTTTATCAATCAGACTCTGCTAACATCTGACCAGAGACACAGAGAGAATAGCTACTAGGATTATACTGGTCATTCGGATTGGGGCTTGACTATTTGAAACCACATGCAAGCTGAATTTCTGGGAGAAGAAATTAAGGGACAACTGAAAATGATGCAAGGGAGGTAGGAGAGAGAAGGAGGACAGGAAGACAGAGAGAGACCAATGCTTTTGGCAGAAATCAGTCCTCCTTCCCCATCTTTTCATACCATACATTTCCCTCTTCAAAAGCATTTCTAAAGAAATGATCTCCTAAGATTCCTAAGAACTGGGCTACAATACAATAAGATAGCTCGGGGCAGTTATACTCTATTTCTTTCCTGTCTCCCTGGCTTATCAGTAAAACTATACTCATGAAAGTATGTTCCCTAGGGTTGTAAAGAGGAGTCAGCCTTGCATCACCGAGAAGAGGAATAATTGTGTTCCTTTTGGAGTCCATGCTGACCAGCTCTGGGGCAGTCACAGAAATAGCAAACAGAATTCTTTTAAAGTATAAGTACAACCGCATGGACCCATACTAAGGAATGACTGGTTGTAGGTATCTATCTATTTGTATTTATTTTCCTTCCGGCACCCTATACCTTGCTTGGCACCCCTAATGGGACAGCCATCGGTTTCTCTATGTCATTCTCTCCCACAATGATTGGTTTACTGGACTCTGAGCCTCTCCGAAGGGAAGGGTCTCATCTCATTTCCTTCCCCGAATCTACCTCCTGATACAGTTCCTGGCATGCCTGTGATGGGAATCCAACAGAACTGACAGTTCTTTGGGCTATTTTGTCAAGTTGACTGAGGCCAGGAGCCCTTTCTTTGTCTCTGAATGAGCCTGTTTTCTGGGATTAGTAGGGCTGTCATCTGTCATCTCCTGCCCGTTCAGTCTAACTGAGCTTCAGACTTGAGGACAAACCATCTCTAAGCCAACCAGCACGATACCTTGCAGATGTCACTCCACTGTCCGGGGCCGTTGTCATTGATGGCTCTCACTTTAAACAGGTACTCGGTGTTGGGGGTCAGGTTGTGAAGCTCCAGGCTCTGCTGCATTATGTCCTGGACCTGTCCACAGAGCTCTGTCCGCACATTGTTCGGAGGGGTGTTAACAAGTTCGTAGAATTCCATCTCAAAGGAATCCACGTCTTCGGTGGGGCACGTCCAGTAAATCTGTGGGAGAAAGGAATGTGGGGCAGTGGAACCTGACAGAACATTCGACCTTCTTTCTCAGTAAGGTTCATGAACTTGATTGTCTCCGTGGGAGAAGGGGCTTAACTGAGTCAACCCTTTCCAAGCTGCTAAAGCTTTTGGATTCTCCCTGGAGCCACTGTCTTGTGAAACTAATTAATGAGGTTTGACAGAAGGCTCGTCATGTGATTGGGACCAGAGGGCTGGCCACTGGGTTCTGTGGCTCTGTCCTTGGGGAGGTAACCTTGCCACCTGGCATCACAAACCCAAAGTTCTCTTTCTGCAAAGAGCTGCCTAGCTCAGGATACATGAGCCCCTGGAGGGAAGATGCCCTGAGCCCCTGGTATCCATTCTATAGTCAGAAAGGAAACTCCTTGCAAATTCCAGCCCTTTACGTGCAAGGAAATAGAGACTTAGGGAGGTAAAGTGACTTATTCTGGTCACGGAGAACAGTATCACATTCAAAATGAGAAGTATCTACTCTTCGGAAGAGACATTAGCATGTGCCAATAATCAGCGTGCACCTAGGATAAACATATGCTCTATTGCTTTTTTATTTTGGGGACTCAAAGTCTACTCCAGGGATCACTGCTGGTGGCATTTGGAGAAACTTACATGATGTAGGGAATCAGACCAGTGTCTGATGCTTGAGAATCAGATGCCTCAACACCTGTACTATCTCTCTGGCCTCTTTTGCATACTCTCTATAAATTTCTTTTTAAAGTGAGAAATTTCAAATTTCTTCTTTGACAAAACAAAACCTTGATGGAGATACAAATATAAATATCACAAAGCAAAAAATTCCTTTTCATGGGGAAATAAATATATTTGGAGCTAATAATAATATAATAAATAATAATATAATAAATTTTAGGTGATGGTTAATCTTTGTAAATCATACTTGTTTTTTTAACCTTCCCACCATTAGTACATAAGTTTCTTTTTTCCCCACTCCCTCTCCAACACTTGTGTTATTGTTTTAAATCAAATGGTTTAAAAAAATTTAACTTGCAATTAGCTACATTTCTGTTAAAAGTTATTGTGTTCTAGCAATTAATTATTGCAGATTATATTTTGACATCTCTTTCTGTTATTAAAAATTCACTAAAGCATCATTTTAATAACTGTCCTATAAATAATTTAATTCTCCCATAGTTGAACATTTAGGTTGTTTCTAATTTTAAATTCTAATAAATAATGAGGCACAGAATTCTCTGGTGCACAGATCTTTATTTGAATTTTTTAGTCATTTCCTTGAAATTTATAGAAATAAAATTATAGCGCCTGGCTATTCCTCGCCTGGGCCCCTTGGAGGGGAGCGGGTTGAGCTTTTCTCCCCGCCCCGACCAGGGCCCCAGCAGCCGAAGACCTCCAGGACCAGCCACCACCATGCTGAGACCACTCTCCGCACACCTGAAGGTACCGGCAGAGGGACAAAACCACGTGGGTTCCGGGGCCGAGATCTCCAAGCCTACTCGGATTGGAGTCGAGCATCCTCCACCCAGATCCTCCAAATTCCAGTAGGCGGGGGTCACACCCACCAACTGGCCCCCTGGCGCCGTGTAATCCCATCAGCGGCCAAAACTCAGAGACCATAAAAACGAGCTCCCGGACATCTTATTATGACATCTCATTCCTACTTTGACAAACTGGCAGGCTACTGAATGTAGCCTGCCCACACGGCAGAGTCTGGCAAACTCCCCGTGGCGTACCCAATATGCCAAATACCAGTAACAATGATGGGTCTCATTCTCCTAAAGAGCCTTGAATATAATCTCAGGGCTAGGATGAAGGAGACGTTACTGGGGCCTGCTCGAGGCAATCGACGAATAACAGGATGATTTGTGATTTGTGATTATGTTAGTTCTTAAATTTGTGTTTTATTTTTTTAAATGTGGGGAGCTTCCCCAGCAGTGCTAAGAGACGCATTGGTCTCTCCTGCTGGACTGGGGGTTCAATGCAGGGATCAAATATGACGTGCTGCTTGAGCCTTACAATGCTGAGAATGACTGGGCCACTCCTGCAGTGCTCAGAGGCATCCGTCCAGGGCCATACCTGGTGCTGTTTGGGGACATCCAGGGCTTTGTGGTGATGCTTGTGGGTATGTGGTACTTGGAGATTGAACTGGAGATGGCTACAAGCAAAGCATGCACTTTGCACTATAACTCTATACTGTTTCTCTAGATCCTCTAAAATTGTGTTTTATTAAAAACTGTTCGATTTTAAGATAACTTTTAATAAGTACTAAGACTGACTTTAAGAATAATTTTTATGCCAACGTCTAACAAGAACTGACTCTCATTTCAGAAAGATGTCAATGCAGTTTTTATCATTTCTAAACCCTATGATTTCTGTGTGAATTCAATTCCAAGACCTAGAATAGGGATCTTTTAAAACAATTATTTATATTTTGGGGTTGGAGCAATAGCACAATGGGTACGATGTTTGACTTGCATGCATCCGACCCAGGTTTGATTCCCAGCATCCCATATGGTCCCCCGAGCTCCTCCAGGAGTAATTCCTGAATGCAGACCCAGGAGTAACCCCTGAGCACTGCCGGGTGTGACCCCAAAAGAAAAAAATTTAAAAACAATGTTTTTTTTTTCACTGGATACCACTGTCTGGAAGTAGGTTGAAGCAATCTCTCTCTTTTTTTTATGTAGGAGTACTGCTATTTATTCAGCCACTGATTAGCTGATTGAATTGTGCATGAACTCCACCTTACTTTTTTCATATTTATAATTTTATTTATTGAATCACCGTGAGAGCAGTTACAAAACTTTCAGGTCTAAGTCTCGGTCATACAATGAAACACCCGTACCTTCACCAGTGCCCATTCTCCACCCCCAACAACCCCAGTAAACCCCCATCCCACACCCTCCCCCTACCTGTGGGGCAGATGGTTTCCACATTAGTCTCTCTCTACTTTGATTTCATTCTATATTTTGACACCAGACTCACCATTATTATTTGAGATTTTACCCCAACACTCAGATCTGCTGAAAAGGCAACAGTAGACAATTTGTGTTCTATTGCTGGTTATGAATAACATATGATGTCGTGTGGCTGCAGCAGTGGCTGTAAGATTTTGAAATTCCGAAATTTTAACACTTAAATCTGGAGGGATTTCTGCCAAAACCTGATGGGTTCCGAGATTTTCTCCGGAGTCTCTGGGATCATGGCCGTTAAGCAGCTTGATCAGGAGCCAGAAAGGCTGTTCATGGGTGATGACTTGGGGTCTTATTGGGGTGGAGAGGACAGGACCAGCTCCACCCGCATCCTGTGAGGCCCAAAATGTCTCGTCACTGTGGGCCCAAACCTGACTGTCCAATGGCCTCTGGAGGATGATGGCCACTGAGCCACCAGGGGGAAGCAGGCGGAGAGACAACACTCTTTCCTCCCTCGGGTGGCCCGGCAACAGTAACCTACTGCGGGGTGCGGGGTCCGGACGCATTTCTGCCAAAAGCCACTGGGTTTTGAGATTTGTTTCTGAGTCTCTGGAATCATTGCCATTAAACAGCTTGATCAGGAGCCAGAGAGGCCGTTCGTGGGCGATGACTTGGGGTCTCGTTGGGACAAGGAGGACAGGACTGGCTCCACCCCCATCTCGTGAGGCCCAACAAGTTTCGTCACTGCGGGCCCAAACCTGACTGTCCAGTGGCCTGGAGGATGGTGGCCACCGAGCTACCAAGGGGGAGCAGGCGGAGGGACAGCACCCTTTCCCCCCTGGGGTGGCCCAGCAATAGTAACTTACTGCGTGGTCCGGACGCATTTCTGCCAAAAGCCACTGAGTTTCGAGATTTGTTTCTTTCTTTTTTTTTTTTTTGCTTTTTGGGTCACACCCGGCGATGCTCAGGGGTTACTCCTGGCGATGCTCAGGAATTACTCCTGGCGGTGCTCGGGGGACCATATGGGATGCTGGGAATCGAACCTGTGTCGGCCATGTTGGCCGCGTGCAAGGCAAACGCCCTACCCGCTGTGCTATCGCTCCAGCCCCTGAGATTTGTTTCTGAGTCTCTGGGATCATGGCCGTTAAGCAGTTCGATCAGGAACCAGAGAGGCCTTGCCTCCAATTATACAGCTGAGCCGGAGGTTTGTGGGTATGTTTCCCACATACCTAACTTTTGGCCGTTTACTTTCTTGGTAAACTTTGTTCCAAGTTTTTGGGGTCTGGCCAAAGGCACAGCAGCAATTTTGGGGTATCTGGAAGTCTGAAGGCGCCATCAGGCTGCCGCTGCACTCGCCTCACAGGTACAGATTGATCTGCTAGCGGCACCATAACCCCGTGAAGCAATCTCTTTTGACAGTCAATGTCTTGACTAGATTTCCAGTTGAAGGTCCTTTAATTTTCCTTTAAAACAGGGCTACCCCTAGAAGTCTCCAAATAGCTCTTAGTAATGCTTTCGAGGCTTTGGGGTATCAGGGAGAGAGCTCAGGGTTCCCCACATAGAACACACATGCTCTACTGCTTAAGCCACATCTCTGATCTTAAGTCCTTTCTTGAACTCCACCAGGCATGACCAAAAGTTGGTCTGGATGGCTCTCTCCAAGTCTGGGTTACAATAGACATCACAGTCCTTCTCCTCCAGATCAAGATCTTAACAACCTCCCAAAGGTCTGGCTTGCATAGAGCTAAGACTGCCATCCTGAGTTCACGTCAGGGCAGAAACAGAAGTCTTGCTGCTTGAGCATCACATGGAAAGAGAGGCTCATCTATAGGTATCTTTTAGGTGACGGACAGTGCCTGACAGCCCCAAGGAGGGCATTTTCTACCTTGCAATGGAAGGCAGCTCTTGGTGGCAGGTGTAATCTCCAAAACATAGATTCTGGCTCTATGGGAGACTGGGGAAAGGGTGCTAATGAGGGTGTTTGGCTTTCATTTTATTGTTTCAGACCCCTCCTACTGCAGTATGATCTGGCAACACCAAGATGAAACTTGCATTTTCACAAGAGCTCCAGTGCACCTAAAAGTTTGAGAGCCACTTGTTTTTCTTTTTCTTTCTTTTTTTATTGAATCACCTTGAGATAGTTACAAGCTTTCATGTTTGAGTTTCAATCATACAATGATCAAACACCCATCCAATGCACATTCTCCACTACCAATGTCCCCAGTATACCCCCCTTCCCAACCATCCCCCTGCTTCCATGGAAGACAATTTCCCCCATATTCTCTCTCTACTTTTGGGCATTATAGTTTGCAATACAGATACTGAAAGGTTATCACGTTTGGTCCTTTATCTTTCAGCACACATCTCCCATCCCAAACGATTCCTCTAACCATCATTGTCTTAGTGATCCTTTCTTTATTTCAGGTGCCTTTTCCCCCAGCTCATGAGATAGCCTTCCAACTATGGGGCAATATTCCTGGCCCTTGTGTCTATTGTCCTCTGGTGTCAGTGTCATATTATGTTATTTTATACGAGGACCACTTGTTTAGACTTCAGCATTGCTAACCGTCTTTGGAGGGCTCTTGTACTATGGGGGCAAAAGAAGGCTGTGCCAGGTGGAAACAAGCCAGTGGGTGATGTCCTTGGGTGGTGTCTCAAGAGCAGGCAAGCTGTTCTCATAGACTATCTAGTGGGATGTGAGTCTTTTCTCCTACTGACCCTTGAATGATGCTTTGTCTAGATGGTTCAATTTAGGTTCAGTTGTGTTAGAAAGGAAGGGGAGGGGAAGGAGCATTTGTCTAGGGTAGACCAAGTGTGGGAGAGATTCACCCTTGCCCTTTTTCTCCCAAAGCGGAATTATGGGGGATAACAATTGAAATCCCAGTGGGGATAAGTCTTTTGATCTTTCTACAATCATGAAGCTGCTGACTACATTCTTTAGTGACTGAGAATCCTAGCTAACAAATAAAGAACCAATTTAAGGGACTAATTCTGTTCTTAGGCCAGCCTCTGTTTTGATAAATTTTTCTCTGGAAAACCAGAGAAACCTCCAGTACCCAACCACGGCCATGCTCAAGGCCACTCTCCATACGCTCGGATGAGCCTCATGCATGAAGGAACCAGCAGAGAAACCCAAGTATAAGGGACCCATGACTGAGATCTCCAAACCTGCTCGAATCGGGACTGCCCCCCATCCCCCATTTTCCATTAGCTTGACAGTTACACCCACAAACTGCCCCCAGTGCCATTCAATTTCATCAACAGCCAAGATCCAGAGACTATAAAACAAAGCTCCCGGAAGAGAGAGATGCAGTATTATCTGGAGTGCGGGCATGAATGCTCTTCCCCCTAGGAGAGCCTGGCAAGTTACCGAGGGTATTCCACCTGCATGGCAGAACCTGGCAAGCTACCCATGGCATATTTAATATGCCAAAAACAGTAACAATAATGGGTCTCATTCCCCTGACCCCAAAAGAGCCTCCAATATGGCAGCGTTGGGAAGAATGAGTAAGGAGAGGCTGCTAAAATCTCAGGGCTGGGACAGATGTAGATGTTATTGGCACCAGCTCGAGCAAATCAATTAGCAATGGGATGACAGTGACAGTGACAGTGATACAGTGATTTCTCTGGACAATGTTATACTCTCTCAAAAAATCCCTTCTCATTACCTTGGTTTCCAAATTGGGTTCTCTCTCTCCTTTTTACCGAAAAGTTTCATTTGAGGTAGGTTAGGGCATGGAGATGGACATCTTTATGAGTTAAAATCCTTGATTGAAGCCATTTTTGGACAACAAAATGGACCACAAAGGGTCCAGAGGAGCAGACTAGAAGGAGCAGATTGCAGAATCCTAGAGGTAAGGACCCTCTTTACTGAAATCCACTTGTTACAAAATCTCCCTCCCTCCTCTGGGCCCAGATCATCCTTACCTTTGCAGCCCTTGGGTATACCAGTGTCTGGTAGATAACAATGGGGCCTGGGGTCTTCACAGATCCTTCAGTGAACGTGTACCAGTTGTGGAAACTGTTGCTCTTCTCCGTAGGCTGGATCGGAGCTTCAGTCGTGGTGCTCCAGTAAGTGTAGAGGCCATCGGAGGGTTTGGCAGGGGTAGCTGACTGGGCTCGCCCATAGACCTCCAACCCCATCCTGATCTTATCACCACCCTTGTTGCAGGACATCAAGGAGGAGCTGCGCTGGAATATCTGCTGGTTGTCAAAGCTGTGGGTGCTGAAGGTAACCTTCCTGGTGATCATCATGTCCGATTGTACGGGGTAGGGGGAGGGCAGGGATTCCCCAGAGGAAGTCTCCTCCTTCTTGGGTTCTGTGGGGAAGAGCTGATGGATGGCGCTGGAAAGCTCTGTGAAATCCAAAGGCATGCAGTGTGTGGAGTGCACGCGGAGGTGGGGGTCGGGCCTGTAGGTGCTCTGGATGCCATCTTCAATCTGGTCCACCAGGATCCGGGCCGACTGCAGGAATGCCACTTGGCCGGTTTCTTTGAGCGCCTCCTTGGAGTAGGCGAGCAGGCCGTCCATTTGGTTGACCTTCATGGTGGTGACGACCACGTACTTCTCGATCTCTTTCTGCCTGGCCACCTCCAGGTTCTCAATCTGCTCCATGATGAGTTTCTCTTTCTCCTGAAGGATGCTGCGCAGCTTGAGGAACCCCTGGCGAATCTCTTTCCGTTTGATCTCCTTGTCAGCTTTGAAGCTGCTCTTTAAGATGTTGAACTCCATGAGGTCATTATCGATTTCATATCGGACTGCAGAAAAAAAAACAAGCAAAAACCCAAAATGCAATTTGGTGGCTTCTGTTAAATATCAGGAACAAACAAGCAAATGATCTGGCACCCCTGGGATATGGGCTGAGTGGGCAGATGGCATTTGGAATTGGGATTGGATTGTGGCATGAGCTTGGCCTCCCTTGGCAAAGGGCTCTTTCTCTTCCTCTGATACTACCTCCAGTGGAAAGAGCCTCTTTCCCCGCTACGCTTGCATTACATGGTATCTCTGCAGCCTGGGGTCTAAAGGCAGAAGCTCAAGGTCACTGGCGTCAGGCATTTTTTACAGACAGTGAAGGTGTTTTTCTATCAGTGAAGCACGTGAAGCTGAACTTCTACAGCAACAGGAGAAAGAGCTACATTTCTGGAGAAACATCTAGTGCTTGTCTCACTTTGCTGTCTAAAACCCCTACTAAGACAATAAATGACAATAAGCCATTTCTTTTCACTGACCTTTACACACCTCTTTTCTGGGCTGGGGATGGGGGCTTCGAGTCTCTGGGTTGAGCTGGGCTCTCTCTCTTGCCTGTCTCTTACCTCAAGAAAGAGCATCAAGGGGCTGGAGTGATAGCACAGCGGATAGGACATTTGCCTTGCACGTGGTCGAGGTGGGTTCCATCCCCAGCATCCTATATGGTCCCCCAAGCACCGCCAGAAGTAATTACTGAGTGCAGAGCCAGGAGTAACCCCTGTGCATTGCCCAGTGTGACCCAAAAGAAAAAAAAGAGCATCAAGGAAAACCCAGTTCATCCTGTAAACTGGGGCACTGGGTTCTGTGACCTGGGGTCAGGGAAAGGTCACAGCAAGTCAACAAGCATTTCAGGGGCATCTGCTCAATGGCACATGACTTTCTTGGCATGGAACAGGGTTAGGAACAGGGGAGGGTCTTCCTCAGAGGATTATCTAGGGGCTCTAGAAGTCAGTGCTGCCCCAGAGGTTAGAGGACAGGATGTATGGGCACCATATGGCTCTCTGTGAAGTGAGCTTTCTGCTGGCTTTGAGTGGGGTTGGCATTAGATCACCATCTAAGATGTGTCAGTGTTCTGGGGTCTGTTATAAAGGGAAGGGCTCTCCAGAAAAGGTGGGCTCTGCAGTGAAAAAATGGGCTGCAATCTATGGAGTAAAATGGGGTGGGAGAGGATGACCCAAGTCCTCAATGAGCTGACCGCCTGTCGTGGTGATGTGCACCCAAGTAAGAGAGACTTTCTGAGGGTCATAGGAAGTGGGCCTATGGCTGGGGGTTTCATTCATGGGGGCACAGAGAGCTGCAATAAAGGGATGTGTTGACTGGAAGCCTCTTGGGGGTATGTCAGTAGTATCGCTCCCTCTTTCTGCGCCCACATCTGGTGCAGAAGGATTGAGTAGGGGATATAAATGGAGGCTGAGCAGGGAGCGGTTAGGGTGCAGAAAAGTGCTTCCCCAACAGCGATTTCTGGGGAAAATACCCATTTCTATGCCTGCAGAGCCTTTCTCTGAGGTATGGGAAAAATCAGCCTCCCTCTCATGTCCAGACAAGTCTCTTAGCTACTCAAGTATCCCCCAAAATGCCAGGGGCTGGGTAGACTCTCTGTGCACTTTGGTCGCGAGAGTGCAGGCCACTCTGTACTATGATCACTGCTGGTGATGGTGGTAGCTCTATCTTTAGAGCCTGACAGTGGAGGTTCTATCTTTAGAGCATCTGTTCTGGTCACTGCTAAGCAGAGAATAGGTTGCAAATAAATGCCGTGGAGATAACAAGAGCATTGGGGTCTGACAGCCCGGGTCTTCCATTTAGTAGCTCTTTGGGGTCTATTACTTCTTGGCATACCAACTTGCCTGATCCTCAGAGAAAATTTTAACACTTGTGCTATAAGATTATTGAGAAGATTAGACATAATTCTCCTAAAAGGTCTGGTTCAAGTAATGCTCTATCAAGGGAGCTATTTCCAGGAACAGAGATCCCTACAAGGCTCTTCAAGACCCTCACGGCTAATTAGGTGGCTATGCTGAACCCTGTGAAATAGTAACAGACCTGCTTCCATCATGAAAATGAGGCGAATTTCGCTTCCAGAAACCACCTCCTCTCTGCAGCCAATACAGAAGAACTGGGAGCAAGTGTGCAGAGGAAGACCAAATTGTGGCTGGGAATGTTACTGGCCATTTATTTATTTTTGGTTTGGGGGCCACACTCTGTCGTGCTTCTGGGTCTGCACTCAGGAATTACTCCTGGCAGTGCTCAGGGGAACATCTGGATGCCAGGAATCAAACCTAGGTCGGCTGCATGCAAGGCAAGTGCCCTACCTGCTCAGAACCCACTAGTGGCTGTTTCAGAGTTTTGTAGTGTGGGTGTGTTTGCTACCAGCTTACTTGGCAAAGTTTCGGGGGAAATCTGTTATGTGTGTGGGAGACACTTTAAGTGGAGATCTTCCTCTAATCTCTCTCCCCTTCACATTGGAAAAGCACTGAAGAAATCTAGCTTCAAAGAGAAACCCCCTAGGAGGGCTCAGATAGCTGCCTCCTTTTCATATGCTCCAAGTCATCTTTATTTTCCAAAGGAAAATGAGGTCCGAGTTCCTGGTGAGATCATAACTAAGATCACAACATGTCCAGGCATGTGCCTGAGACATATCTAGAATCATGCGTTCAATCTACCCCCTTCATCCTCCTCCTGCTATTAGTCCCATTTTATAGATGAGAAAACCGAGGCGTGGGAGCTAATCGGAGGGCCCTGGCAACACAGCACCCCTTGGCTTCACGCTTGGCTTATCCCACCAGGACTATCCTCCCCTGAAACCCCTGAGAGGAAGCTCGACCCGGGACCTGCTTTGAACTTGGCGATGGCGCTGAAGAGGGCAGCAGCTCGCTCGGAGCAGGCGTCGATGAGCGTCACGGTGTCGTGGCCGCTGTGGAGCGACGCCTTGCAGAAGGCGCAGAGCAGCTCGTCGTCGTTGCGGCAGTACTCGATGATGCGGCTGGACGGGTGGTAGATGCAGATCTTCTCGTCCTGGTCCTCGGGGCCGCAATCCACGAACACGTGGTCTTGCATGGTCACGTCCGAGTGCATGCGCTTGAGGCAGTCGTTGCACAGGTTGAGGTGGCAGGTGGTGCAGCGCTTGTGGGCGATGTGGCGGCCCTGGCACACCTGGCACAGCATGGGCCCGCTGGAGCGGTCGAAGCGCCACTTGAGGTAGCCGTGCTGCTGCATGTAGCGCTTGGTGAGGCGGCCCCGCAGGTAGTTCTCGGGCAGGTGCATCTTGTGGCTGTAGGGCACGCAGTGCGAGCGGTTGCACACGGGGCAGACGAGGATGAAGAAGTTCTCGGTCACCTCGGCCCTCTTCTGCAGGTGCCGCAGGCACTTGCCGCACAGGCTGTGGTGGCAGGGCAGCATAAAGGAGTGCAGGCGCAGGCGGTTGCACAGCGGGCACAGCAGGTGGGCCACCAGCTGGCTGTCCTTGGGGATCGTCTTCACCTCGGGCAGCTGGCAGTCGCTGTCTGTGCCGAAGTGCAGCGCAGTCTTGGAGCTGGAGGGGGCCACAGACGCGGGGCCTTAGTGGAGAGGCGGACTCTGGACCTTGTTCCATTCCTCCTCCCTCCCCGTCGCATCCCTTTCTACCACCGCCCGTCAAAAAATCAAAGCAATGACCCAGGGGTGCCGGGCACCTTCCCAGGTATTGGCAAGCATGCCGTCGGGACGTACCAGGGTTTTAGCCAACTAGTCTCCGCCTTCCAGTTAGCTGGGAGATGTCAGGGGATCTAAGGCACTGGTCCCTGCCCCTTTCCTCCGGTTAGACCTTGGGCCCTTGTCCATTTTTTTCTCTTTTTGGGTCACACCTGGCAATGTACAAGGGTTACTCCTGGTTCTGCACTCAGGAATTACTCCTGGCAGTGCTCAGGGGGCCATATGGGATGCTGGGAATTGAACTGGGGTTGGTTGCATGCAAGGCAAAAACCCTACCCACTGTACTATCTCTCCAGCCCTTGGACCCTGGTCCTTGAGGGCATGAGATGGAGGGAAATGACCACACAGCAGGCAAGCAGATCCTGCCACCTAAGGGCAGGAACTGAGCTCAGGGGTCGACTGTCGAACGGCACATTCCCTAGCCCTTTGCAAGAGCAAAGCCAATATAGGACACTCCATCACAGGAGCGCAGACACTAACCCAGTCAGACAAGTGACACCCCCTATCCCCGCCCACCCTTTCCTGCTCCATGGGAGGACTGGGTGTTGATTCCCACCTACCAACACGGGGACTCACTGTGCTTCCCCACTCTGTGGATAAAATCTAATGAAATATCAGAAGGAATTTATTCCAATGTTCTACCTAACATAATCCTAGCAAATCGCGGTCACAGTCCTCCCGTTATTCATCAATTTGCTCGAGCGGGCCCAGTAACATCTCCATCGTGAGACTTGTTGTTACTGTGTTTGGCATATTGAATACGTCACAGGGAGCTTTTAAGGCTTTGCCATGCGGGCGAGATACTCTCGGTAGCTTGCCAGGCTCTCCGAGAGGGGCGGAGGAATCGAACTCGGGTCGGCCATATTGGCCGCTTGCAAGGCAAACGCCTTACCTGCTGTGCTATCGCTCCAGCCCTAACATAAACATAAACCTAACTCCTATAATTCACTGGAGCCCACAGCTTCCACTCTTATGGTTGCTAAGAGTTGGTAAGTCCAATCTCATACAAAGCCAAGGGGTCATAATTGATGTTACTGTACATCAGATAGAACAGAGAAGAGAATGGATAAAGTGTGAGTCCCTGGCCACTGCAAACCTGGGATGCATGTGCCTGGCTGTAGTCTTCTGGGCCAATGTGAATGTCCTGGGCTCTTAGCGGATTGCCCAGGATGGAAAGTGTCCCTGCACCTTTGAGATGAGTTTCTTTGGCATCTGTCAACCAAAGCTCACCACACTGCTTCCTTCATGAGACTTTTGCAAACTCTGCATGAGACTGTCCATGAGCATGACCATGCTATGGGCACAGAGTAAGCCTATAATCCGTGTTCACCTCTGGAATGATGCTTTGATCGACAGTGGAGAAACACACAGGCTAACTCCCCAACCAGTGTGGGCTTCTGCTCTGAGTGTGTGTTGGATGTTCACTGGTTTAATCTCAGAGGCTGATTTCAGACCTCCAGTTGGGAGGACGCTGCCTGAAGCTAAATCACTTTGTCAAAAGTAGAAAACATGTTTCTAAGAAACTGTGATCATGGTAAAAACAGTTCTTGGAAATCTACAAATTTACAGGAGGCAGAGAGGTGTGCATTGTCACACAGATTTGTGACTTCTGGTTCACATGAGAGGTATTTGGGTGTCGACTAGATATCATTGTTGTTGTTCTCTGTCTCCCCCTGACCTCCTGCAGTCCTTCTAATCCACAAGTGTGTCTCTGCTGCCTTGACCAAGAGCTCTGTCTCCATGCCCAGCTGTGAGAGGTGTTTCCCATGCCCCCTTGCCAGCTTATTCCTTAAGGATTTGAATTTCAGGATCTGGACCCTTGGTCTCTGTACTCAACTGGGTTCTTGCTCTGCTTTTGCCATCTCCTGCCTGAGAACTCAAGGGGCGCCAGCATGTACCAATCAATGGAGCACATGGTGCTGGATGCCCTGCCCTCGTTTGCTAAGGTGGCATTCTGAGAGTTGGGGTTCACTCCAGAAGGAGGCATCAGGAGAGATCAGATGCCTCACTAGAGAAATCAGGAGGGAAGGAGATTGACATTGGGGGAAGGGAGAGAGGGAAGGAGTAGGGAATATGAGCAGGGTTAGGGAATGGGTATTAATAACCCGGGAGCTGGGGGGAGGTGATAAAGGAAGTGGGGAAATAAGATGATGAGGCACTGAGAGCAACACCTAAGTGAGGAGGGATGAGTAAGAGGCCAAGCAGGTGACTGGGGGATGAACAGGGGGACGCTGCCCGGAAGCGCAGCGACCCACTGAAACCAGACAAAGATGGACTTTGACCCTACCCATCCTCAGAAAGGTCAAGCTTGGACCCCACCATTCAGTACCCTGGGTATCCTGACGCCTGTCCCCATGCCCAGTGCTCGGTTCAGCGGCTAAGTTCTTCTTCCTCAATTCCTCCCTCCAGGGGCTGGAGCAATAGCACGGCAGGTAGGGCATTTGCCTTGCATGTGGCCGACGTGGATTCGATTCCCAGTATCCCATATGATCCCCTGAGCACCACCAGGGGTGATTCATGAGTGCATGAACCAGGAGTAACCCCTGTGCAATGCCAGGTGTGACCCAAAAAGAAAAAATTCCTCCCTCCAAACTTAGCTGTCTACCTTAAGGCCAGGTCCCCACCCTAACGCCTGTTGAGTCTCTGGACTTCTCTCACTGTTGGCCTCCAGACCACACTGCAATTTGGCAAGAGGGGGGCAATGTTTGCAATCCCAATACCCAGGTCACTCCCAGGTCAATAATGCCAGCATCTGGGGACCAGGCATCAGAAATTTTTTAGATAGACTTGCTCCCTCCTCCCTCCCCCACCCTCATGAGATTTCTTTTTAGCTCTATCTGGGGGTGCTCTGGAATTACTCCTGGTTCTGCACTCAGGAATCACTCATGGTGGTGCTAGGCAGGGGTGGGGAGCTGGATATCTGGGGTGCCAGGAATGGAACCTGGGTCCTCCAAGTGCAAGGCAACAACCCAACCCCATCACTCCTGTGCCCCCGAGGATGGCCTCTTTCTGGCGGTGTTTCCCCAGGAGCTCGACCCCGAATCCTCGCTCAGGGTGAGCCTGGGGACAGGGGTGCGCCGGGCAGTGGGAGGCCCAGGTGCTGTCTGGCCGGTAGGCCACTCTGACCCGACAACACGTGCTCCTGCCCTCCAAGCTGCAGCTGGTGCTCAGCCCAGCGCGGCGGGCAGCAACCCAGTGACTGCAGAGGAACCGGACGCGGGGTGGCGGGGGCCCCTTACGAGGTGCGGATGGTCTTGAGGCGGCCCTTGCGGAAGGTGATGGTGGCGCGGCGGCAGCAGCGGCTTTCATAGTAGTAGCACTGCAGGTTGTTGCTGGACGTGCAGCAGCACTTGCAGTTGGGGTCGTTGGCCCAGGAGCAGCAGCACCAGTGGCAGTTGGGGTGCTCGGAGCAGGTGCAGTGGCAGCACTGGCAGTTGCGCTCATCCTTGTACGGGCAGGGGAGGCAGGTGCAGTTCCGCTCGGAGGTGAAGAGGAACTTACAGCAGAGACAGGAGCAGGGATCGGGGTAGCCCAGCACCCAGGGGCAGCAGGGGCAGCACACACACACGGTCGTATCCATGGCATCTACAGGACCTGGGTCTCTTCTCCGTGGCTCCTGACACCACCCCCCGCCCCAATCTCGCACCGGGGTCCCTCCCCCCGCACCCCGACAAGACTGTCAGCTTGGAGGTGGCACGAGGGTGGCTGTTTGGAGGCTTCCGGCGGGGCGGTGTCCCTGGCTGGCATGCTCAGGACCTGGCCCTTGCATGAGTCACTGGCTTATGTCACAATCCCTGTCCCCTGCAGGGTAGGTGGGAGGCTGAGGGCTCGGTGGAAGGCAGGGAGGGGAGGGAGTGCCCTGCGGGACGTGTGGGTCCAGTGTGGGGAGTGGTGGATTCTACAGGCGGGCTCTCCTGACTGAGTGGCTTGGTTGCCACTGGGGCAAGTGGATTCGGGGGTCCACCTTCCCCATTTGGACGGTGTGGGTACAAGTCATGGGGAAAGGAGACCAACTTTTTGGAAACTGCTTTTCATCTTTCCTCTCCCAGGGCTTTGACTATTATAATAATTATCGTTATTATTATTATTATTATTATTTTATACTCCTCCCAATCTCTTTTATGCTGATAAGGACCTGGCAAAGCCACACATTCAGTGGCAAAGCATAAAAGGAACCAAAGGTGGAAAGGTTCATTGACGCAAACCTTTCAGAAAACCAGGGCTCTTCATGTGCCTTTTCATGCATAAGTCACTCTGAATATTTGGTGGCTTTTAATTCTTTTTTTCTTTGCAGTTTCATGAGGATTGCGGGGGTGGAAGTTCTGTTTCTTCCCTCACCCACCCTAGGACCCCTTTACTAAGGGGCTGCAGGTTTGGTGTGTGTGTCCTAGTAGCATTGCAAGCAAGATCTTCTATTTTGGGGGCGAATTTTGTCTTCCACTTTATGCAGCTTGCAAAGATTAAAGGAGTGGAAATTTCATGGCCCTACAGTATTAACACGGTCTTATTATTTTTCCAAAAAAGGAGTCAGAGTGAGAGCTGAATTTGACGACAGGAGTTTATTGCATAATTTTTCTCTCTCCCTATGATTATCACCTTTATAATAAGAAAGAACATTCACTGACTGCTAACTGTGCTACTCACACATTGATTTTAGATTCCTGCAAATAAAACTCCCACATCGTAAGCCTGATCTTTTCCTGAATAGATGCTACTAAATTAGTTACTCAAATGAATGTGCCAGTTTATATTGACCAACAATGTCTGAAAGACCATTTCCCTACTTTTTTTTTTACAAGCTCGACTTTATTAATATTCCAGTACCCCGCCCATTCTCATAGCAGTGAGAATGGTTTTACTCCTAAATCTATGTGACGTTTTCATCATGCAAGTCTCACTCTTGTTTTTATTTTTACATTTTTATTGCGATAGAATGACCTAGAAACTTGCCATTAACTTCACCACTTAAAATGAAGAATTCAATGGTTTTAATATATTGACATGATTATACAGCTATCACTGCTAATTCCTATTGCTCTTAGCCACTACTCCTAATCACCCTCCCTCATCTCCTGCATTCATGAATTTAAATGGATTTGCTTATTTTGGACATATTTATAAATGGAATTGTATAATATGTGACCTTTGGCATCTGGCTTCTTTCACTTAGTATGATGTTTTCTAAGTATACATTTTAGTGCATATCAATATATCACATACATGTATTTAAATATACAATTATATTTAAATATATTTAAATATATAAGCATATTAAAATATATACATATAGCTTTAATGGCTAAGTAATTTTGTGTGAACATACTAGATTCTTTTTATCTATTAGCAATTTATGTTCATTTGAGGTGATTCCTACTTATTCACAACTATGACTAACATTACAGTAAATATTTGTGTACAAATTTTTGTCTAAACTTCTGTTTTCAAGTCTCCTGAATGTATGACTAGTAGTGAAATTACTGGGTCGTTTGTAATTCTAACTTTTTGACGCCAAGTTGTCTCCTAATCAGCTGCATAATTTTATGTTTTTGCATTCTCACTAGAAATGAAATACCATTTTATTTTCCATTTCCGCATCAAAACTATTAAATACTTTTAAGAAATATCTTAGCCGCCCTAGTGGGTATCAACTGGGATATCATGGTTTACATTTGAGTTCCTGTGATAACAGCTAATAATGTTGAAAATCTTAGCATGTGCTCATTGACCACTTATATATCTTTAGAGCTCTGTGTATCCAAATCCTTTTCTTATTTGAAAATTGAATTGTCTACTTTATGGTTGAGTTGTGAAAGAATTGAAAGTTATGAAAGTATTATGTAGGAACAATACCTTTATTAGATGTATGGCACGTATTTTCTCCAGTTTATGAACTTTTTTTTTTAGACAAACAGGAAGGAAAAGCAACATGTAAGTGGGGGAGAAAAGAAAGTTACATACTTCATGTCACAACAACATCTCAAGGATCAACAATTCACAAATATCTTTAACATGTAATGTATAATCTTTATGATCAATTATTTCCTTTCAAACTTGTCAGTAGGTAGAATATATTGGTTTCATGAAAGTGATTGTTTTTCCTTTTGTAAAATATTTATTTTGACCTTGCTTCAATGTCTCACCTGAGGACCATGTTCTTTAAAAAATTTTTTTTTAATTTAAATTTAATTTAATTTTTTCTTCTTATATTTATTTACTGAATCACTGTGGGAAAAGTTACGAAGCTCACAGGCATTGGGAGAGGTGGAGGGGGGTACATTGGGGTTCATGGTGGTGAAAAATGAGTACTGGTGAAGGAAAAGATGTTTTGTTTATTTTTATTTTTTTTAATGTAGAAGTACTGCTATTTATTCAGCAACTGATTAGCTGATTGAATTGAGCATGAGCTCCACCTTACTTTTTTTCTTTTCATAATTTTATTTTTTTCTTCTTATATTTATCTATTGAATGACTGTGGGAAAAGTTACAAAGCCTTCAGGTTTAAGTCTCGGTCATACAATGATCAAACACCTTTCCCTTCACCAGTATTCATTTTTCACCAACAAGTACCCCAATGTACCCCCCTCCCACCCCTCCCAATGCCTATGAGGCAGATGATTTCCACTTAACTCTTTTCTACATTGATTACATTCATTATTTTGACAGAAGATGCACCATTATTGTTTAGAATTCCCCCGCCCCCCAACAATCAGAATTGCCAAAAAGGCATTGTGAAATACTTTGTCTTCCATAGCTAGTTATGAGAATCATGTAATGTCATGTGGCTGCTATCATGGCTGTGCGGATTTTGAATGTCTGCAAAGAGCCAGATAATTACAAGATTGGTTTCTGTGCGTCTGGTGTTATAGCTGTGCTGGAGAGCCGCCGCTTGTGGGGAGCAACTCATGACCTTGGTAGGGTGTGAAGGACGAACCAGTACTGCCCCCTTCCCATGAGACTGCAGTTGCCCCATCACCGCTGCCTCATACCTGGCTTTCCAATAAGCTCTGAGGCGGCGTCCACCTTGCTGCCGGGGCGGGGGGTGGAGTGGGGGGATTAGGAAGAAGGCGGAAGGGAGCAACACACTTTCCCTCCCGGGGAGGCATGGTGCCGTAGTTTAATGCATGGTCCATTCACTTTTCTGCTGCAAGTTGCCGGGCTCTGGATTAAGTCCTTTTGCCTCTGGAGCCATGGCCGTACTGAAGAGCAGCTCGAGGCGGGGCAACTCGTGACCTTGGTAGGGCGTGAAGGACGAGCCGGTACCGACCCCCTTCCCATGAGACTGCAGTTGCCCCGTCACCGCCGGCTCATACCTGGCTTTCCAATAAGCTCTGAGGTGGTGGCCACCTTGTATGTGGTCCACATGCATTTCTACCAAAAGCCAATGCAACTGGGTTTCAAGATTTGTTTCTGAGTCTCTGGGATCATGGCCGTTAATCAGCTTATCAGGAGCCAGAGAGGCTGCCTGTAGCTGGTGACTTGGGGTCTTGCTGGGATGGGGAGGAAAGGGTCGGTTCCACCCTCATCTGGTGAGGCCCTGCGTATTTCATCACTGCAGGCTCAAACCTCACTGTCCAATGGCCTCTGGAGGATGGTGGTCACTGGGCCTTCAAGGGGAACAGGCCAAGGCACAAAACCTATTCCCACCTAGAATGGCCCAGTGCCAGTAACCTACTACAGGAACAGAACACATTTCTACCAAAAGCCTTTGGGTTCCGAAATTTGTTTCTGAGTCTCTGGCATCATGGTCGTTAAGCAGTTCGATCAGGAATCAGAGAGGCCATACCTCCAATTATATAGCTGAGCCCGAGGTGGTTTGTGGGTGTGTCTCCCACAAACCTAACTTTTGGCCGTTTACTTTCTTGGTAAACTTTGTTCCAAGTTTTTGGGGTCTGGCCAAAGGCACAGCAGCAATTTTGGGGTATCTGAAAGTCTGATGGTGCCATCAGGCTGCTGATGCATTCTCCTCACAGGTACAGATTGACCTGCTGGTGGCACCATATCCCCTATGAACTTATTTGATTGCTTTTTAAAATAGTGACTTTGTAAGTTTTAAATTTTGGTAAGCATGACTTATCTTGGTTATTTTTGTGTCAATTATTTGCTCTTTTGGTATCATTGAAAAACTCTGCCTAATTCAAGTTCATCAAGATTATATAGTTGATATTATCTTCTAATAGCTTTATACCTTGACCTCTTAGAGTAAAGTCTTTGTATGTTTTGGATAATTGTTAAATCTGATGTGATATTTGTCATACTTTAATTCCTTTGATGTGGATATCAAGTTACTTCAGCATCATTTGCTTAGAAGATTGTTCTTTGGGTCCAGAGTGATAGTACAGCAGGTAGGGCATTTGCCTTGCATATGGCCAACACGGGTTCGATTCTGGGCACCCCATATCGTCCCCTGAGCATTCTCCAGGAGTAATTCCTGAGTGCAGAGACAGGAGTAATCCCTGAGCATCGCTGAGTGTGACTCCCCCAAAGCGAAAAGATAAAATAGAAGATTGTTCTTTCCCATTGAATGCTTTTGAAACCTTTGTCAAAAATTAATTGGCTAGATCAAAGGTTCTCAAACTCATT